AATGCTCCCAGCATCCTGAGCGAAAAGCATCTGTTCTTGCTGTAGCAGCAGCACTTCGTTAATGGTTAAGATTAGGAGTCAGAAACCTGGGGGCCATTTATGATTTTGCAAGAGTCCTGTGTGACTCATAGTCAATCTTTTTGGTCTTCATCCTCTCTCTGCTCGCATTCTTACTACACTGTCAGCAAATACACCTATTCATCATACATGGCATGGAAAACTTTTTTTTTTAGACGGGCATACATTACTTTAAAATCCTCTAATTTGAGGTCTTAACAGTGTGTAACAAATAATTCAAAAGAGAAGGCAGGAATCCCAGTGCAAATACTGGAAAAAAAAACCATGACGGGAGGAGAAGAAAAATAAATAAACAAACAAACAAAAGCCCAAAACAAACAAAAGAACAACCACAGAGAAAAGGGATACTAAGTCCATGATCTGTATGTAGGACAAAACACAGCATCAAGTATCTCCATCACTTGCTGTATCTGACAATATCACTATCTTCACAAGCAACTCAGTTCCCATAGTATGGATGTGGGACTTCTGGGGAAAAAAAATTAAAGTGTCTCCCAGAGCTTCCACACTGATTTTTACTGGACCAGCAGGCATAGCTGGAAAAAAGCAGATTTCAGGGATGCAGTCCCAATCTCTTTCCAACTATAGCATCAGCCTCTGTCGTCAGACCATGATGGTTTGAGCCTCAGCACTTACCCTCATCAGTCACACTCCCAGACACAGCATCATGATAAACAGGAAGCTGTACTTAGTCCATTAGGAATAATGAGAAGACTGCATGTCCCACCAACATACAGACACAGGCTACTGAAGGCTAAAGAAATCATTTAAAATTAGCTTTGTGACACAGAAGAATTCTTGTAGGTACAAAATAAATAAATTGTTTTCTAGAGTTTGGGAGTGGTGAGGGAGAAAGAATTATATTACGTTCACTATCCACCCAAGAGCAAAGTTGATGTTTGTCTTTGAAGCATTCTTCTCATGAAGAGATAATGACATTTCATACATATTCTACCTTAACCTTGAGGTATTGAGAATATTTTGCATTTTTGACCTTTTGTAAAATATCTGTATTCAGTTTGAGAGGTGTTTTCACCCTCTTATCATGCCAGTCCTAACTTTGTTTCTATCTGCACTTGGAGCACATTCCAGACAACACTTTCCAAAGCTTCTGTTTTCTTGTGTCCTCCAAACAGTTCTCTCTTCACAAGGAAACACCCTGAGCTTGTCCAGGAAACCCAAGACCTTTAAGGAAACAGAACTTTAAACAACGATATGATCCTAGAGACAGCTGGAAATCATATAGGTACATGCATTCATTACACTAAGGACAGTTGCAGTAAGGGTCAGCAGTGGAACAACAGCACCTTAAAAAAGGGAGAACTGAAACCTGACTTCAGTGAGACTTTTGTCTGATCAAGAGCAAAGCAGAGAGCTTAGACTTTATATTGTATGTTTTCTTATTCATGCACAGGAAGATGAAGCTACTGGATAAAGTGATTGATTAGTACAGGACACTTTTTTTTCCACTTGGTAATTCAAAGCGAATAATTTGAAGTCCATGCTTACGTACATCTCCTATAGGCAAAGCACTTGTTCAGCATATCGGAAGGTGCCTCAGTGCTGCAAGCAGACACACTATGACTGGAGTAAAAATTGTATTATAATTTTAAAAAATCTACTATTTCTACTGTTCCTGATAAAAAGAAAGTTTGGTTGCTACTCAGGTGAGGAAAAGGACTTTACGAAACTTCCTCCGTGTTTCTGAGGGCTATTCCAAGAACCAAGGGTGCAGGAGGAGCATGGGATCTACACAGAAAAATCTGAACTGCAGTCAGAAAGGGCATAAGACTAAAAGAAAAAGCTAAATGCAACTAGATCTTTAAAAAACTAAGTACAATTTTTGTCTTTCAGCTTTTTCATTGTAGGTGGTTCCACTGTAATACATCTGTTTTTCTTAACATCTATATTATTTTATTGCTAACTTAATTAAAATCTTTAATATTTCCAAATTACTTCAATGCATCTCCTAGAAAAAAAAAGTTGGGGGGGAAGCATGTTGAACAAACATTTGGACATATCCAGTTGTTCTGGCTTTGATAAGCTCAGTATCTTAAATCTGACATAACTTTCAATATGTAATATTCTGGAGCTCACCACTCTTAGAATAAACAACTTCAACAAGATTTCTGAATTAAGCCTTCAAAGGTCTTACGTTTGAAGAATAATGAAACTGTGATAGAATTTATTTTTATTGTCCAGAAATTTAAGTATGAACCAATATTTTATGTGGTGCCAATAATGTAAATAACCTCCTTCCCAGCTTCTATTTCAAGTATATATCTTATTCAAAGAATAATCTGTGTGGAATAGCCCAAAGAAATGCATCAGTAATTACAATTTACTAAAGTTTACCTCATCACATGATCTCACTTGCAGCAGTAGTGTAAAAACTTTCCAAACCTTTCCAAGCTATGTAGTATTTTATTTAAGGACAAATAGCCATCACAAGTCTCAAAATTAGTAGGACAAGTTCTACAAGAAACTGCATCTAGCAACAGTGGTGTGAAGCAACAATCTGAAGGAATCAAAGTCATAGTGCTAGAAAGTAAATATTTTTATAACTACATCCATAGCAACCACAAAACTCTCCACTTCTCCAAAGTGATCCATAATGCTTGACTTGAGAAGCTGATTTAAAGCTCTGAGGAGGTATCGCTAGCCATCATTTATCTTGGCCATAAAATTCCTGGAAAGACAAATATATAGTCTTTCTGGGCCATCATTGTACAGAAAAGAAACACTCAAAAAACATTTCTGGAAACTGCTATACTTGCTTCTTTTGAACCTATAAATCCTCCTGGAGGTGGGGCTTACACTATAGGAATAAGTTATCAATTACCTTCTATAGGTTGTATTTTTACTGCAGCGTCAACCCAGGTGATAGACAGCTGAATTAAGAACTTTACTATAAAATATATAATATATAAGCGGTGCTACATAATTTTCACTTACAAAGATTTGTACCCATATTCCATTAATGGATTAAAGTATTCAGAGAAGTTGAGAGATGGAGATAAATTCTTTGTCAGTAGTCACTGGCCAACTAAGGACAGTGCATCCAAGTCTCCCAAGCCAGAAGCCTCTGCCCTGTTCAGCAAATATCATTACTCCCGTATAGAAGTACTTTGGATAAGCTTTCACATGCCAAAGCTGCTCTTTATGCCAGTTCCCAAAGGCATCTCTCAGAAATCCAGCGGCATTTTCTACTTTGCTCTTTCCACTGAAATAAACCGAACCCAGTTCTTTCCCAGTAAGTGGGGCAGGAAACCTTGCACACTCTCTGGTCATGGCAGATGTATAATGGAAATCTGTCAGCACCAAGTAATTTAGCCTACACTTCAGGCTGCATTTCTGTGTTCATTCATATTAGATGTGTGCACTGCTAGACCAAACTGCATTTAAAAATTAAGCTGAACCAGGTTTGGGTACATGACTCCCGTACTGCTAATAAACACAGTCAACCTCATCCCAGATTTCTGCTGGCTTTAAAGCAGCCATGCAAAGGACAGATAATTCTTGATCCATCATAAAAACTGTCTTTATAAAGCTAACTCATTTTGAACAAATTGGAAACAGTAGACTGAGCTAATAGCAGACCAGTATTTTGCAGCATTGGAAAGAACATCCTAGTAGGGGCTGTTAAGCTGAATTTACTGTGCTATTAAACCACAGCCTCAGCACAGAAGTAGGCTTGTTACCAGCACATGTGAAAAGCCATGCCGCAGTTAATTCATCTTCACAGCACACAAATAAGGGAGGAAGGAGCAAAACCTGATCAAGATTCATTTAAGGGACTGGAAGATTTAATTTACATGGTTACTTTGCGTTTTTTTTTCCATTCTCTTTGGTTGAAGAATAACACAGATTTGCCCTTTGCCTACATAGCAAAGGGAGCTCCACTTTCAGAGCCAGAAGTCACAGACTGCACTCCTCTTGCTGCACACATGTTGCTGACCAACAGTGGCAATAATCAAATATTTATGCAGTCCCACAGGGAAAACTCTCTGAACACTTAGCACTGTCGTTTAACACCCCTAGCTCAGCTTTAACATAGTATCCTTATGAACATGGGGTCAGGCAGGTAACAGATATTACCAAAACCAGTCCTTTTCCCTGTCCATCTCACAGGTGTCTCCAGAGCAGGGACAGCAGAAGCAAAGGTATGCTCTTACCACAGTCGCTGCACTTCAGAGCTTGGTGCTTAGACTGAAAATGATCTATCAGGCTGCAAACCTGAGACTGGAACATAGATACACATACAAGTTCATCCCACTTAAAAGTTTGCAAATACTTAGCAGAAGGATTGTGCTGCAAGCTGTGGGATCAGCCAGAAATATCCTCAAGAGTCAATCTGTGCAAGCAAGCCACAACTTTTATATATGTAGGATGATCAGAAAAGGCAGGAACTGATTGAGTACACAACTCCATTACTACTGAATATGAACAGACAATTTTGAAATAGAGATCTTGTATAAAGCTAGTCATGCTCTCTTAAAACACATATTCTCTTAGAAAAAAATAAACATACAGAACTGGTAGAAAAAGCTTGATGAAAAAACAATGCCAAACATACACACACACACACTCTTATATAAACTCACTTATTTGATTTTAATAACTGGATTTATTTCAGTTAATTCCATATCAAGGTATTCACTAGTATGTTTTTCTTTTACTTTAATTTCACAGAACAGCTACTCTACCTGCTTAAAATAAGTGAGGTTAAGAACCATAAGTATTTCCTCAAAGGCAGTATCTAGCAATAGTCTACTTCTGTAGGCCCCACTTATCGCTTTCAGCTTTGTATTAAAACTGTCCTCCATTCTCTCAAATACATCATCACAAACCAGTTTAAGTTCATCGATATTAGAGACTTCTGTTGGCTCCTTTGAGTTGGCCAGGAACTGCGTATCTTCACACTGTTGATTAATAAAAACACACACGTGGAAGACTGTAGTGCAGACACAACTCTGCATTAACCTACAATCCAGTAGCAGTGAGGTTCTTTCTGAAGCTGGTAAACATGTTCTCAAGTACTTATGAAACTTAAACCAAAGCTGGCTCTAAACGTCAATATTAATGGACTCAAGCATCTCACAATGGTGGCTGAATAATCATTTTATAATCATTCCAGGAGTTAGGAATGGCTGTCAGGAAACAAAGGTCCCCTAAAAACCATCACTACTCTGTTTAGAAAGGTAAGCTACACAAATATTATCACCTGTCAACACAAAGTAGAAAGCATACTTCCAACAATGAGTAAGCAAGAGCCTGTCCATGCTCTGTGGCCATGTAGCTCAATGTAAGTGCAGCTGATGCAGTATTCGCAGCCAGGCTGAATATACAACATTCCAGCAGGGCTTGGATAAAGCCTTGGGCATCTCTCTAACAATCTGCAGTGGGATCACTCTTCAGATAAAGTACAAGAATGGTTCATAATTCTGTTTTAATTAATAACTGAAGAAGTATGGGAAAGAAAGCTTTTCTTTCACAAACTAAGTCTTCTTTATTCATAGATCCACCACAGCTCTTGACAGTGGAGCATCCCCTGTGTTTAACAACTGAAAGGAGCCTACAATCACCTACCTACTAAAGATCACCAGGATTTCCAACCCTGCTGGCATACAAGATACCAGCTGGTTGCAGGTTCCGATTTCACACCCTCACCACCACTTGCCTGCATAGCTGGCACGTCAATGCGCATCCTCTCTCTGATGGCACTGTCCTGACAGAGGTCTGCCTGGAGCTTCACTTGGTTAACTTTGAAGTCAGCAAAACCAACAGTCCTTCCACTGCTCTGGAGAAGCACAATGTTTTCAAGCCTTCAAAAGGAATCTGGTCAGATAAGTTAATCCTCCCAGCACCATCAAAGCAAAAACATCACACAGGGAACAACAAAAAAAAGCTAGCTGGAGCAACCATCTCTTTAAGTCCCATAACTATTAATAGTGTAGATAAGCAGACTAAAGAGAAACACACTATTTTTAAGCAGCGATGTAGAGTATCTATTAATTAACACACCAAGAGCAGGCAGGCCTGCCCTGAGCCCCCAGCGTTGTGTTGCTCACTGCCTACCAGCAAGACAACTCACTGAACCTCACACTGCCTGGCTGGCTGTACCTTCGTTTACAGACGAACACAGGTATAAAGTACCTGCAAAGAAGAAAATCACTACCAAACCCCAAAGGCATTAGTTCATACCCTGCTCTGCATGCAGGTCTATCTAAGAACTAAGAGCATAAGGAAATGGTTTTTATTGACATACAAAATGAAGATAAGTTGCCTAATTAACTCTCACGTCATGGTTATCAGCATGCTATAAACTACCAAGTGTATACAACCAACGTCGTTCAGAACAGCCTCGAAAAAATCAGTTCCTAACCAGCCAAAACTCATTTTTCCACTACAAGAGGTGATGATACCACAAACAATGCAGGAAACTAAAAAAGACCACATGTGCCTTGTATTATTTTTGCATTTGTCGATAGTTGCCTTCGGGACAGGAGCATTGTGCCTCCTCCTCCCAAAGCCACCCTTGTTCCCAAACCGACCTTTCCCTCTCCCCCTGCCGGTACGGCCCCGGCAAAGCCATCCCCGGGCTCCTGAAGCCGCGTGATGAACTGGGGGCGGGGAACAGCCCAACCTCCAAAACCACAGCGGCAACTTTTCCATAGCTATGACTCGAAAACCTGCTGAGCGCCCTGCTGCCGAGGGGGTTGAGGCTCCCCAGCCGACCCCCATCCCGACCCGGCTCCTCCAGGGCCACCTCCCGCCCGGGATCACTCACGATTTCGGTCACCATGAGGA